TAAAGCTTTCCGTCATAGCTCCCCACGCACCTGAACGCACCTTGCTACAAATACACTCTTTAATTGCTGTTTACAGCGGTCCTGGCACTCAGATGAATGCAGATATTATGGCCATCCAGCTGCCACCGGCACACGTACTAGGTACACATACAGACAGCGCCTCTCTCCCCGGCTCCGCCCTCCCCTTCCACGCGTGGGCTCAATCACATGAAGATACCAATTCCCCAAACATGCAGCTTTGCAGGGGTTCCAGCTCACAATACCTCAGCTCCTGGTCCATTCTATCCCAAGGGGGCCTTCCAGGTGGAGGCTGCAGAGACCGCCCAGAGCAGGCCGGATGCACCCGCCCACCTTCCAACCAACTGGACCTGGAATTCCAGGCGCAAGCTCTGGGTACAGTCCAGCCCCTTCCACAGGTCCCATGCTGTCTGCCAACTCTGTTCCAGCCCTTGGGGAATTCTGCTGGGTGAGACCAAAGCTCTGTCCTCTAGACACTAGTTGGATAGGGCCCAGCAGGGCTGCCCCTGCTGCCTGGAAGGTCAGGGACCTCCATGCCCATGGAACTGACAGAATTCGCCTGGCATCGCCAGCTGGGGTTCCCTGGCAAGGCAGGCAGGCACCCGGGCTGGGCCTGGCACCGGCTGGTGCCGGCACCTGGCCAGACCAGTCACTGCCCTGACAAGAGAAAGTTGACCTCTTGGCCACATATGCCACCTGCCGGGCACTGTCTGTGGAGCACTATAGGACCAGCTCTATACAGGGCTGCCCATGCCCACCTGGGATGCCACAGTGCTCTGAGGAGCCATCAAGCCAATTCATTCTCCAGCTGGGGGTCATCAGCTCAGGACTGGGCCTCCCGCCCCCACGTGACCCCTCCCAGCTCCTCTCCCTGCTGTTCTTGGCCTCACTCCCCTGGGGGAACCAGTTATTGAAAACAAAAACGGTCCATCAGATTCAATAAGGATTCAAAGTCCCTGAGAGAATAGGGGGTGGGTGGGGAGTGGGATGGGGGGACTCAGGAGGGGGAGGGAACCATATACGGCTCCTCTGCCTGTCCCACACAACATCCTGCAATGGCCAGGCTAGAGGGTATAACAAGGGGACAGACCCCACGGGCACTCCATGTTGCCCTCAATGCCCCTTAAGCCTGAGCTTGAGGTCAGCCAGGAGCAGAACCCAGCTGCCCAGGACCTGTCTTTGCTCACCCGGCACCCACCTATTGCCCTACCTTCCAGCTGTCCCCTTACCTGTCACCTACTGGCCTGTATGTTCCCACCTCAAACCAGCCTGCTCTAACGCCCTCCCCAGTGTGAGGAGGGGCTCTGGGGCTGTCTCCCTGCCCACTATCCCCCAGCCCTCAAGCGGGCAGCTTGTTGATCAAGCTTCCCTGCAAGGCCACAGAACAGTGTGAACCAGGGCCAAGGAGGGGGCCTGTCTCCACGGTAACACAACAGCTTGGGTGCACTGGCTGCCCTGGCCCATGCCCCATTGAAACCATCCTCGTCCCCTCTGGGTTTTAGACTTGCCCAGCCTCAGGTCCTCCACTGTGTCCTGGCCTGTGGGGAGATCATTTGATCTTCAGTCCGGACTCTGACCCAAGCCCAGGATGCAGGCCAGGGAGGCCCGAGCGTGTGCCGATGGGGCAGGCTTTGGGGAGGTAGGTGGGAGGAGAGAGGTTGTTGGTGAAATAGGTGGACACAGTCAGGCTTCCTTGGATCTTCCCACGCTCCAGCCCTGGCCTCTAACCCAGGTGGTCCTCAGGGCACACCTTTGATCTGCCCTTTCAGCCACACCCCTAACTTCTGCACCTCCTTCACCCGCCATCAGCCTCTTCCCCTAACTTGTGCCCAGTGAGTGGAGGGTTGGCCTGGACAATCTCATGGATCCTTTGCCTGGAGAGAGGAGGCCCGCTGTGCCAAGGCCCCCTGCCCTGCAGGGAACAGAGCCCACTAACAGGTGGGACAAAAGAAGGCTTCAAGCATTACTGCCCCCAGGGACAAGCTCACAGAGGGCTGGGGGCAGGGCAGGCAGCCTTCAGGACCTAACCTCTGTCCTAGTGGTTCCCTCTCTGGCCTTGCTCACCAGCTCACTGCAAGGTCACCTCTCCCTCCCTCTCTCTTTTCCTGCCGCCGTCCTGCCTGCCCACTGCAACGCTGACCCCTGCAGGCCTGCTGGGGCCCGCCTGGTCTGGGGACAAGCAGTCCGAGAGACACAGGGACTTCAGGATGAACCAGAGGGTGAAGGCCGAGGGCAGAGAGAGGCCCTGAAGTCTAGGAGGGGGCAGAAGGGAGGCTGCAGGGATGGCCTAGGGAAGCTGGGCAGAGCGTGGAGCTGGAGCCTGGGTGTGCATGGGAGGGGGCTGGTCTGGGTTCTTCATTGGACTCTGATTATTGCCGACAGTCCCTTTCTTCATTCACAATAGATCAGGGAGCCAAGGGCCTGGGGGCCTGGGGCCCAAGTAGGGAGAGAACCACACCTGTCAGGTAAGGTCCTAGCAGTAGCTGAGCCCTGCGGGGATGAGGGAGGGAGTACCACAGGGATCCTCTGGAACCAGCATGAGGCAAAGGGGAGCAGGAGAGGACAGTTTTTTTTTTTTAAAGGATTGGGCCGCAGGTGTTCCTGAGAGTGGGATGAGAGGATCAGGATATAAAGGCACCAGCCCCTGGGGGACCAGAGGGGAGGGGAGGGGTGGCCTGAGTTATGCAGAAATCAATTTGCATATCTCAGTCCCAACCAGTACCAGCCAAGGGGAGATTGGGGGGGGCAGAAATGGGGGACACAGAGCCCTGGCTTGGGGAGCTGAGTCTGGGGAACCTTGGGGGAGCTGGGGGGAAGGGGAATCTGACTTGGAACTATAGGGCCTACGAAGGTGGGCAGGGATGCCAGAGGGCAGAGGCCAGAATGAGATCTCTGACTCCTTAAGGACCCCAGACGACTAGGCTCAAAGGCAGACTCTGCCCTCTCCAGCCTATGTCTGACCCCACCCAGCCTAATGCCCACACCAGAGAGCAGTCAGCCTCAGGCCAACCCCTTTCCCAGTCACAGCTGCCCCACCACAGGCACTGGTGGGTCCTGCAGCTGCAACTAGGGTGGGCAAGACAGGTCCCAACTGCAGCCAGAGAGGCGCATTCAAGGAGGGGGTGAGGGAAGAGTTGGGGGCTGCCAGCACACCAGGGATGGCACTGGACTCCAGACCCTTTGCCTAGAAGATGCCAAGCACGTCAAGCTGGCCTCCGTGGCGAGGGCAGAGGTGCTTGAAGGAGTGGTGATGTCATGGTGCCCAGGCATGGGAGGGAAGAGGAGGGAGGGAGAGGGGACAAGGGCATGGCCCCAGGCTAGTGGCCTAACAGGACAGAGGGGAGGCTGCCAGCCTGGTGGGCGAGGGGACAGAGAGTGTCCTTACTGCTTCCCTATCTTCTATCCTCATACCCCAGAGCTGGCTTCTGAACTAAGCTACTGGCTTCTGAGAAGGTGAGCTGAGCAAGAGAACGCTCCTGCCATGGGCCATGTGCTGGAAGCTGGCGGCATCTTGGAGGAAGATGCCAGGGTAGGTGACCTGGGTCCAGACAGATGAGGGGAGGGCTCTCCACAGGCAATGCCCCTTCAGCCCTCACCTAGAGGACATTCAGAGAAGGGCGCAAGGTTCCAGAGAAGGAGACTGAATCACCCTCATATCCAAGTGCTGAGTGAGGGCAAGTCTGGCGCCCAGTGGGTCGTCCTCAATATCGACTAGGCTGAAAAGAATTGAGGGCAGGTGGGAGCAGATTCCTCAGGAGGCAGAGACAGGCTGAGGCTGCCCCTAGAGGGGAAAGAGCAAATGTGGGGCTGGGGCAAGAGTGGGCAAAGCCAGCACCCACTGGACTGCCTTCAGGAGCCTCAGGGCTGCAGGCTCCTTCTGTGCAGGGTCTTAGAGCTGTTCCTTCCCCACAGCACCGCCACCCCCAGGAGGCTGGCAGCAGGGAGCCTGGAGGCTCTGCATTTGGGAGCACGTCCTGGGCTGAGGAGTTACGCTTTTAGCATCAGAGAGAAGCCCAGAAACAGACCCTGATGCCAGAACTGGCAGACTGGGAGTGCTGGGACTGGGTGGAGCACCCCAGGTGGGAACAGGGATAGAGCCTGGGCAGGAGCTGCAGGGGACCTGCCTACAGGTGGGCACTGGGTGAGGAGGCATCGGGAGCCAAGGAGGAAATGGCAGAGCAATTTCCGAGGAAGACGGGAAGATTCTCTGGCTTTGGCTTAGAGGATACGAAGCAGACAGTGGGCTCCCAGGCCACTCCCCTGGCGGGCGAAGCAGAAGGCAAAGCAGTTCGGCCCTCTCCCCCAGGATGTGAGAGAGTTTGGGGTTGTTTGCTTCCCCCTCCCCAAACCTAGGAGAACATTCTCTTGGCACCCCCATTCTCAAGAGCCCCTGCTCTCTTTCCCTTCAGGCACCCCGTCTCCCCCATCAACGCCCCTGCGGTTCCCCACCCCCCAGAGCCTCCCTGCCCAGCTGCCGCACCAGATTCCCACTTGCCCCCTGGCACCCTCTCAATTCACAGTTGGCACTGCGATGCCACTCCGCTCCCCTGTGCCCACAATCTTGGCCAAGAGCTGCCGGGATCCTCACCCTGGGGTCCGCCAGAGCTGGCACCCCCGGGGCACCGGTGCTGGGGAGCCGCGGGTGTCTCTGAGGGCACTGCCCGGCTCCCACAGGGGCAGCGGCTCCTCGCTCCGCCACACACGTTGTCCTTGGGCTGCTGGGGGGTGGGGGGGAGGTCCTTGTGGGGACACTGCGAAGCCCGTCCCGGACATCCAGCCTGGCAGTGTCCGGACTGCGGGGGACCGGGGTCCAAGCCGTTGCCGCTCAAGCCCGCGCCCCCGGGGCTGGGATGACCCCTGGGGGAGCTCGTGCGGCTCCGAGTGGACAGCAGCCCCAGGCTGGGGCTCCGAGACGGTGTCCGGCGCTGCCGCCGTCCTGCCCGCCGGTGCGGGGCGCCCCAGCCCGCCGGGGCCGCGCTTACCTGGGCTGGCCGCCTCCGGGTCCCGGTACATGGTCCCCTCGTCGCCGGTTCCCTCTGGGCTCCTCAGAGCCGCCCGCGGCCGCGCGCTGCTCCGCCGCCGCCGCTGGGCATGGGGCCGGGCGACCCCCGGGGGCGGGTCCGAGGCGGCCCGGGCGGCTGCGCCGAGCGCGGAGGCGGAGCGGCCGCCCGCCAGCCCTCCCAGGCCGCCCGCGGCACGTTGCGCCGCCGCCGAGCCGCGCCGAGCCTCCTCCCTCCGGCCTGCGCGCCCGTGTGCGCGGCCGGAGGCGTGTGTGTGTACGAAGCCGATTGGTATGTGTTGTGGCGCGTTGTGAGCGCGTGTGTGAGCGGCGCCCGGCAACCGCGCGGCGCGCCGCCGCCCGCCGCCAAACGCCGCGACCACCGCCGCCGCCTGCGCCCGCTTGCCGGCCGCGCGCCGCACTGCCACCCGGCGCCCGCCGCCGCCCGGAGCCGCCCCGAGGGCACGGCCGCCGCCCCGTGCTCCGCCCGCCCGCAGCCCCGGCGGGGAGGGCCGCCGAGCCCCACGGCCCGGCTTGTCCGGTCAGCGGGTCCGGCTCCGCAGCGCGACCCACCCCCGGCCCGTGCTTCCCCGATGGCCGCGTCCTGGCACCGGGCAGGGCCGCAGAGCCGGCCACCTCCTCCGAAGTGCCCTTTGGCTCCGATCCAAAAGGCGTAGAGATCCACTCCGGGTTTTCCGCTTGCTGGCGGCTCGAGGGCGTCAGCTCCGAACTCAACACCGCGGCGGGCCGGGGCAGACGGGCTGGTGTGTGCAAAAACCAGGAGTGGAATTTTTGGCAGCGCTGAGCCTGGGTCCACCAGTCCGGTGTTTCTCCAAGCTCGCACACAGGTGGAGCATAAAGGGCTAAGATCCCTGCCCTCGGTGGGAGGTTACGCCTAGTGACCCTCCTCACCTAACCCAGCCCCACGAAAGAAGAAAATAGACTTTTCAGCCTCTGGTTATCCCTCTCCAGCAGCAGCTCCTCCTCTGATCCTCCCCTCTTTTCCTTGACCCTAGCAATTCGGAGGGTAGGAAGGAAATCCCTCCTTCCCCTCCCAACCCTGGACCTCTCTTGGTCCTCTCTGCCCCTCTGCCGGCTCAGTACAGTCTAAATCAGGTGAACACTAGTTCTCATTTCTCTACAGAATTGGGATGATTTGATTCTGGGGCAGGGAGGAGAAGAGACCTGTCTCCCAAGGATATGAAAAACCCGGAACTGAACCATTAGGGGTATCAGGCACAGAGACCTCCCTGCACGCACCTACACACCTAATCACCTACACACACACACACACACACACAGACATGCTGCCCCCTCCCCCCCACACAAACATGCTGCCCACACAAAGAGACACATACACTGACGCTCCCCGCAATACAGGTGCTGCCCCTACCCTTCACAGATGGGTTAGGTAAGAGGGTAAAATCCCTGGGTCTGTGGCAGCATCCTGCCCTCCCCTGTGCTGAGAATGCAGTTTGCAGGTGAGCTAGGCTTCCCAGAGTCAAGGATTCTTATTTCCACCCTGAGAAATCCACTTCTGCTGGCTTTATACTGCACTACTCACGCCCTGCCACACCTCCACCTGCCCACAGTGCAGAAGGCAGCCAGGAACACCGCTCTATCTCAATTCTCCCCGACACACACACAAACAGACCCCATCCCCTTGAAATCACATGGAGTCTATCCCCAACCACCACCACCACACACACATACACACATACACATTCACCTCCACCTATAGCTCTTCCCGTTGAGAAAAAGATAAGGAAGTTCCCCAGCAAACCTCCATGAAGACTGTTCCAGTAGAGAGCAGATTTCCTGGGAATGAATGTTCTAAATAAAAGTGGAAGGAAAAAAGGCATCTGTAGGTTAAGGCCACCATTCCTCAGTGGCCAGAAATCTCAGCCCTCACCCTCTGGGGAAGGGCCATCCTATTTCATACACCTTGCAGCTGTCCTCCCCAGCTCACCCATGTGCAGCCAAGAACCCACGAGTTATCTACACTCTGCTTTGGGGCCTGGCAAACCCCAGAAAGCTAAGCCAATAGGCTGGGACTGCAGGGTCTGCAACCTTGGCTCATTCCCCCACCCGCCCCAGCTGCCTCTCTCATTGCCCTAGTAAAGAGTAAACAGGGGCTGGGTATGGTAGCTCACACCTGTAAGCCCAGCACTTTGGGATGCCGAGGCGGGAGATCACTTGAGCCCAGGAGTTGAAACCAGCCTGAGCAACATGGTGAGACCCCATATCCACCAAAAAATAATAATAAATAAATAAAGATTAGCCCAGTGTGATGGTGCGCCCATGTGGTCCCAGCTACTTGGGAGGGTGAGACGGGAGGATGGCTTAAACCCAGTAGTTTGAGGCTGCAGTGAGTCATGATTGCACCACTGCACTCCAACCTTGGCAACAGAGTGAGCCTGGTCTCGAAAAGAAAAGAGCAAATAGGCTACCCTCACCACCCCCCACCACAGATGGGCACACAGACAGGTTCCCTGCTGAGGAATCTCCCCACTTCAGATCCCTTCACCCATCAATGTGAAAGTCCAGAGAGGGACAGCAGAATTCCTCATCACCGCCACTCAACAGGTCTTTACTAAGCATCTAAAGTTTTTCAGAGTTGACAGGACATCTGAGAGATGCCCCAGGCTGCCCCTTGCAAGTGTCAGGTGATGAAGGCAAGGCCTCTAGAGGAGAAGGAACTGACCCAGGGAGCTAAAGGCCCCGGAGCCAGCACCCTGGGGAGCTGGCGAGAGAACCTGGAGTAAGAATCACTCTTGGTTGAGACTCCCAGCCCTTTGCTAACCACTGTGGGATTCATGAGGAGACCCAGTGCTTGCTCCCATCTGAGGGCTTATAGCCTGTTTCTTACAAGAGTACGAAGTCCAGTCTCATCCTCTCCTCACAGGCATTGGACAGTCCTTGTTCCAGGATGTCAGAGCTGGACAGCTCCTCAGACACACAAGAGGAACGCCATGAAATATAGTTGTACAAACTGAGGCTCTGGGGCATTGGGAATCTTGGGTGGTTTTTAAATTCCTGCCTGCAGCATTGACACAGAAAATACTTTGAAGATACCCCTTCTCTGGGTCTTAGTCACTTTGTTTAGGGGACGCAGAGTCATGGGAAAGAGGAAAGAATACAGATTTACGTGGCTCTGCCATCATTGCTGTGTTTACCCTGGGCAGACACCTCTGAGCCTCAGTTTCCTCATCTCTACAATGGGGTAATAATAACAACTATTACCTTTGGTTATTGTTAAGTTTAAGCATGGTGAAAAAATCAAATCACTTAAAATGATACTTGGGAGACCGGATGCGGTGGCTCACGCTTGTAATCCCAGCACTTTGGGAGGCCGAGGTGGGCGGATCACAAGGCCAGGAGTTCGAGACCAGCCTGACCAACATGGTGAAATCCCGTCTCTATTAAAAAAAAAAGAAAAGAAAAAGAAATTAGCCGGGCAGAGGTTGCAGTGAGCTGAGATCGCACCACTGCACTCCAGCCTGGGTGACAGAATGAGATTCCTTCTCAAAAAAAAAGAAAAAAAAAGATACTTGGAACATATAATTTATTCTTTATACTTTTTGAATGCCATTATTATTGTTGTTGTTGCTATTTGTTTATCCTTAACAGAGACACCACATACTCCCCATTCCCATGTGTTGCCTGTCAGAAAAGTTCTTCCAGATGTCTAACTGTGAACCATTCTGCTGCATTAGAAGGCTACTCTCTCCTGCCGGAATATCGATGAGAGCCGAGCCAACTGGGAGTTTCTAGGAGCTGCTGGGCTCCTTGACCCTGCCAGCCCGAGTGCCAGAATCCAATCCCAATTCTGTCTTCTAAGTACTCACAGAGAACTGGGTAGAGGCAGTAAATGGAGCCTGCAAGAGTGAGCAGGTCCTCTGAGGAAAAAGATCAGAGGCTGTAAATCACCCCTGCCCTGCCCTTGGGTCTTGTCTCTCACTGGGGAGGGCCCGAGCCTCTGGACCTTCAGCTTTTCCCCTTCCAGTCCCCAGAGAAGGGGGGCCCAAAGAGCCCCTCTCATTCTGTTTGGTTGCTGGTCCCCTGTCCTGGGTTCCATGACATGGCAGGAAATGCGGGCAGCACCTGGTTCCCCAAGGACTGCCGTGCTGTGTGCTGCAGACCCTTCAGGCCTGTTTCCGATCTGGCACCATCCTCAGGGCCAGGAGTCCTGGGTCGGCTTCAAGGAGGGACATTCTGTCCCTCAGGAGCAGATGCTGGGCCTGCACTCTCCCAAACAGGGTCCCTGAGGCTGCCTGGCTCTGTTGCTAGGCCACGGCTAGGAGGCAGGGCTCCTGAGTTCCCCTCTGGCCTCTACCTGGCACGGTCTTCATGTTGCTGTCTCCCCACAGTCCTTTCCCCCATCCCCACCCCCTTGGCTATGGGCTGAATTATTAATAAAAATGCTGAGGAAGCTGTTTGTGCAGCTCACGTGACAGAACAAACACACCTCTCTCCTTGCCATCGTCCACGTGGCAAGAGACCCAGGCTGAACATTCGCCTGATTCAGGAGAGACAGGCTGAGACTAGCTGGAAGGTGGCTGTGCAGGGCAACAGCACAGCCCACTGATGGTGACAGGCCAGGAGAGTGAGGATTTGTTCTGTCATCGTGTCCCTGCTCCTACCCCCTAGTCTTTCCCTTCCTCCTCTGCAGACGACGAGTCTGGAGAAGACAAAAGTATAAAGTTAACAGATGTCTCCACCCCAGAAAGGACATGACAGCAAACTCCTAGGAGGCAGCTGCAGCCATCTCTATACCCACCTCATCACCATCAATACAAAATTGCCTTCTCTCGAAAGACCCAGTAACTACCAGATCTCAGAGGCCCACCCAGAGTCTATGCTTGTCACACTTCTGCCGGGTTCTGCTTTGGGGGCCTGGTACTAAAAGGCAGGGTTTGGACCCCAGCATCAAGGGAAGAATCTGATACTCGAACTCAGGTCCTGCCTCTGCCTGTTTCTCTGTTTGGCTTTGGCTTGTTACTTGACATCTCTGGGCCTCAGTTTTCTTATCTGTAAAATAAGGCTAAGAACTGCTCCACACAAAGATGTGAGAATACCCTGGGGAGATGGCAAGGTCTGGATCTTTCCTGGTTCCCTAGGGGTAACCCCAGGCACCAAAGACCCTGCTCCAAGCTGACCTACCATAGCTATAGGCCCCCAAGGGTCTCTCAGGCCACGTTACAGGGCCAGAAACCTTATTCCTACCCCACCCTCACCCTATCTGTCTTCCCACACCCCTTCACCCTGTAACCTCTTCTTTATCCAGATTCTGGCTCTCAGTCTCTCTCTTCTCCATGGTCATCCTGACACTCCCCAAGTGCTTGGCTCAGCCCCTCAAATCCCTCACCACCCTCAAAAGATTAAAGTTGGTATCCCTTCTTCTGGCTTGGGACAGCCCCAGCCTTGGTCAGAAGTTTGGCCTTGGGACTCTGCTCTGAGACATTCCTTATCCCTTGGGCAGCTCAGGCACCCCTGAGACTGACTGAGGGCCATGGGGGCTAGTGAGACCCCCTTCCTGGGATGCACTGTGGAAGCACCTCGGTTTGCTGATTACCAGGTGAGTGACCCGGAGTCAGCCCCTCAGTCCTTCTGAGCCTCATTTTACCAGTCTGTACCATAAGGATGTTGTTTGTTAATCTTGACTGGGTCTTAGACCCCTGTGAAAAGCTAATGAAGCTGGTGGACCTCTCCTCCCTAGAAAAGTGCATATACAAACAGAGACACAACATTTTGCCCATCATTGGGTGTGTGTTGGGGTGGGAGTCCTTTGGGTTCCAGATGAAAACCCCTGGCCCAGAAGCCTGCAAGACTGCTTCCAGCTCTGTCAGTCTGAACCCAGTTCTCTGCCCTCCCCATCCTCTCCACAGTGACTTCTGGGTGTGGGGGAAGAGGGGACAGTTAGGGAGGTAGGCTGCTGGTCTAGCCACACCTTTTCTCCCTCCTGCCTCAGTGGGCCCCTCCCCCAGCATTTCCTGTGGCTGGTGCCAGCTTGTCTGCAGCTCAGACCAGCGTTTCAGTCCCTGTTGGAACCCACTGAACTGGCTTCACCTGCCTTTCAAGGTATTTAAAGGTTCTTTGACCAAATGCTTTTTGATCCTTCGCTGATGGGAACCAAGCAGAAGCTCTTTGGCCAACTGTCCCCCCTCCCCCCATATGATTAGTCTCTAAGAGCTCTTTTGATATTGCAGAAACCTTCTGTGGTTTGTTCAAAGCCCTGGGCCTTGCAGCCACCTCCCCCGGGCACCCAGGCCAGTCAGCTCCAGCCTCCACCGCCCATCCCCAGAGGTGGCCTAGTTAATGGGGGCCTCCTAGCGCTGAACAACTCTGGCCTGAGTTTGAACCCCAGACCCGAGCCCAGCTGGTAGAGGGGTCAAGCCCCCCTCTTCTCAGGGAGCCCGGGCCAGGTCTGGTAGTGTGGGATGGGGACCTGTTCCCCAGGCTTCAGCGGGCCATGACTCTTCTTCCCGCCCAGCTGAGGTTGCACAGACAGGCATGCAGGCCCACGATGATAGCAATTGACCTGTTTCCAGGTCTGAGGCTGAGGTTGAGAAGGGGAAACTGAGGCTCTGAGAAGTCCAGGGTTCAGGCCTCGGTGTGTGAGGGGGCAGGAGCCAGAATCCGCCAACCCAAGACCTGCTCCAGCAGCCCCCATCCCAGCCAGCACCACTCGCCGCCCGGGCTCCTGGTCCTCCAGGGCCGCGCAGAAGGCGCGCCTGGGCTGAGTCCCAGCTGCAGAATTCTTGGGGGGCGGGGGACGAGGCGTCTCCGCTCTTAATAGCTGAGCTCCCGCTAACGGCCGGCCTGGGCTAGAGGCCGGCGCCTCCAGCATAGAAATCTTTCTCCGCAACTTGGACTGACCCACCCAGAGCGCTCCGAGTATCCGGCCCGGGGCGGGGATGCGCGTGCGCGGAGGGGGTGCCGCGGAGCCCGCGTGAGCAGACAAATTACCGCGGACCTGAGAGGACGCGTCCGCGCCAGCCCGGAAGGAGGAGGGGGCCGGTACACAGACGGGGGGCGGGGGAGATGACTCTCTCTGAGGGATCCCCAGCCCCAGGATTGAGGCCCCACCCTCTGCCCTAGCTGGAGTTGAAGACCGCAGTGGGGGTGGGGGCCTATCCCTCGCAGGTGGAAGGGTGATCTGCGCCGGGAGAGCTGGGACTGTCCCAGTTCAGCCATCCCTGGCTCTGGGCTGAGGAGGATGACAGGAGAGGCCCCAGCACTCCGAGACTGGGCGAGTTCAGGTGGCCAGGCCCCCTCCCTCACCAAGGCCTCCGGGAGCTGCTGGGCTCCTTGGCCCTGCCGGCCTGAGTGCCAGAATCCAATCCTACTCAATAATAATCGTCAGAGCAGCCGGCAGCACTTACTGAGCTCTGAGGGACTGCCAGGCCCGGGTGCCAAGTGCATAACACGCATTATCCCATTTAATAGTCACGGAAGTCCCGTTGTGATCCTCTTAGGAAGGTGAGGGGGCTGAGGAGGCGAGGGGCGTGGCTTGCCTGGGGCGTGGCTTGCCTGAGGTCGGGCAGCCGGCGGGGTGGAGGGACAGGTGGGAGTCACACCAGCTCCAACCAGGTCTAGAACCCAAACCTTCAATGCCTGGGTTTTCCTGCCTTCGACTCCTCAGAGCTCTCCTGGAGGCTGAGCAGGCAACAGAGCCTGCTCCTCAGCTGGGTGTGGCCCGTGGGAGGTGAGGGGGCGCAGAGGCCGGGCACCCTGGAAAGGAGGAAGAATGGGGGACCCCCATCTTCCTGGCTGCTTCATTTCCCGCTCTCTTCCTGCTCCCACCCCTCCCAACGGTGGGCGTCCCCCAAGGCTCCGTCCTCTCTTCCCTTTTCTTTCTCACCCACTCTCTTCGTGACCTCATCCACTCCCACGGCCTCAGCTTTTGCTTCATCCCCATTCCCAGCACTGTCTCTGGGGCCCTGACCTCCCTCCCAAGCTCCGCAGCTGTGTACTTAGTGAAGCCTCTCCACCAGGTGGAGGAAACTCATTACCTCCCTGGAGTTACCCCACAGCTGCTAAGGCCCCATCACTCTCTCAAGCCCCACATCGGTTCCCCAAATCCTCCAGCTGCTCTTCCCCCACACCTAATTAGTGTCCATATCCTTCAGACCCTTTTCTCTGCCCAGCCTCTCACACCCTCTTCTCAGACTCCTGAGCCACCTCCCTAAGTCAGACACTCAAGCCGCTCACCCTCCACCTCACCTGGCTCCTGCCCAGTCACTTGCCTCTCCCAGTCTTTTCCATCCATGCCCTCCCTCCCTGTGGTTTTCTTTTTCCTTTCCTTTTCTTTCTTTCTTTCTTTCTTTTCCTTCTTTCTTTCTTTCTTTTCCTTCTTTCTTTCTTCTCTCTCTCTCTTTCTTTCTTTCTTTCTTTCTTTCTTTCTTTCTTTTCTTTCTGACAGAGTCTTGCTCTGTAACTCAGGCTGGAGTGCAGTGGCATGATCTTGGCTCACTGCAACCTCCGCCTCCCAGGCTCAAGACATTCTCATGCCTCAGCCTCCTGAGTAGCTGCGATTACAGCCACCTGCAATCATGCCTGGCTGATTTTTGTGGTTTTAGTAGAGACAGGGTTTTGCCATCTTGGTCAGGCTGGTGTTGAACTCCTGGCCTCAAATGATTCGCCCGCCTCCCAAAGTGTTGGGATTACAAGCATAAACCACCGCGCCCGGCCTCTCTGTGGTTTTCTGAGACACAAGATCCAATTGCGCTACTGTCTTCTCAGCCCCTGGACCTTCGATGGCTCCCCGCGCCTGTGGAAAGGAGCAGCTCAGCCTGAGACAGAGTCTGCCCCAGTATGACTTTTGACCTCCTCGTCTTGCCCAGTGCCCTGCCTTCAGCTAAAAACTGAGTTCCTCCCTATGGGTTTCCACCTTTCAAAGCCTGTCTTCACTGTCACTTTGTCCAGGGAGCCATCCCTGATTCTCCCAGGTGAGTTTGAACTCCCCTCTTCTGTAGCCCCATGGCACTTCTCAGCATTTCGGTGATGGAATTGTCCAAGTTGATAGCATTTATACAGCTCTTCAATCCCGCTTTCTGCCCACCTGCTCCACCCCTGCAACGGACGGGGAGCTCTTTCAGGGCAAGGATCGCCCATTACTATCCACCCTCATCTTCCTCCTTTCACGTTTTTTATTGATCCATTCAGCAAATATTAATGACGTAGCTGCTATGTGCTAGGCACTGCATATACAGAATCCTGCTCCTTCTCTGAGTAATTGTCATACAGTGTGACAAGTGCATTAACAGGTGGATTCAGGGAAACATGGCCCTGGTCAAGGATTTCTCCAGGCTCCCGAATGCCAGGCCCTGGCCTGAGCACTATGGGGGTGTGCAAGCTTGAACGAGACCAAGCCCTGCCCTCCAAGATGGTAGCTGTAGGGAGACAATAGGATAGGTACAAATGCAGGTCTGAACACAGTGCTTTGGGACTACAGAAAGCAGAGCAATGACCTTGGCCCTGGGGAAATCCTGAAGCTTCCCAAATGCCCAGCACCTTGCACCAAGCAGTAGCCTCGTAAATCTTTGTTGAATTAAATTGGTTATGGGAAGAAAGGGGACATAATAGAGACTGAAAAAGAAAATTAAGGTTATTGGGGGCAGGCGGCGGGGGATGACAGAGCATTTTCACATCTGCATGAAGTCGCCTTGTCACCCATCCCAGAGGGATGTCTTGTGGACAAATGAGATCATGGACGTGCAGTGCTCTGAACGCCTGGGAAGAAAATAACTATACAAATACCGGGGCTATTATTAGTCTATCCCTATCAGACCAGATAAGTCCTCTCCTTGTGGCCTCAGTTCCCTCCTGGTAATATCAACTCTGTCCTGTGGCAATTTGCTTCTCTCTGTCTCTGGGCCTCAGTTTCCCCATCTGCAACATGAGGACATACCATGAGATGATTCTGAGGGTCTCTGGCTCCTCCAGGGAGATGCTCCAGGGATAGCTGTGTCTGACTAGGGGATGCCTTTTGTCTTCTCTTGACTGCCACACCCTGGGCTGAGTTGGGGAGTCCTCATAAAATGTCACAAAGGCCACTCCCTGTCCTGTTTGTCTTTCTGGTCAAACAAGGCTATGCAGAACATGAGGCAAGTGTGGGCTTCTCGGCCGGAAGTTCCTCTCTAATTTCTGGGGAACAGCCTTAAGGCCTGTTTTCTGAAAAAGACCTCTGTGTGAGCCCCTTCCCTCCACTCCAGGTCTGAGGTCTGTGTTCCCCTGGGGAAGGCCCATCCCTCTCCAAATCCCCATTGACCTCTCTCTTTATGGCCAGAAGTGTTGGGGTGCAAGATGCTTCAGTGAAAGGGGATGGAAGCTGTAGTGAGAGAGAAGAGAAGCTTCTCGCACAGGAGAGAAGCTCCCCCATGACCTGTCCTTAGCTAAGGCATCACCACAACCCTGACCCTACAAAGCAGAGACCTTGGCCATGTCCCTACTTTCCCTCTTTTCCTTACCTGGAAACATTTTGTTGGTGGTGAGTCCTGGTCTTTTTCCTTCCTGGCTCCAGTCCTTCGCAGCCTCCACTGCCGCTCATTCATGGCCCTAGCCCCGGTCCTTCCATCTTGCATCGGCTTCCTCCCTAGGTCTCCTCCTCTGCCTCCAGCCTGGCTCCCTTCCTGTCCACTATCCTAAGGGCAGCAAAGCGCAAGTGTGACCAGGTTGCTCTTCAGCTCAAAGCCCTTCCATGGATCCATAATTGCTCTTAGGAAAAAGCTCAGATTCCCTGTCTGGCAGGCAGGGCCCTTCCTGACCTAACCAGAGAGGCGAAGTCATCTTTGAGAGAGTTCTGAGGCTGAGAAAGAGCTCACTAAGGGATGGGGGCGAGGGGGCATTTCAGGGACAGGGAAATGTGGTTTCAAAGGTGGGGAGATATGTTGGAACCTGGGGTGGGAAAAATCAGAAAGCAGATATGGCAGGAGGCTGCAGTGAGTGTCCAGGGTGTATCAGGCACACCTAGTGTGTGCCAGGCTCTGTCGTCATGCTGAAGATGCAACAGTGACCAAAACAAAGATCCCTGCCCTCAGGAGCTGGCATTTAGCAGAGGGAGATAGCAATCAGCAATGAGCAAAAGAAGGAAATGTTATAGTGTGTTAGAAGGTGGTGAGTGTTTGGGAAAAGAAAGGTGGAGAGAAGTGAGGGTTATCTGGGGGTGGATTGCAATGTTGAGACAGGGTAATGAGGGCAGGCTTCATTGAGAAGGTGGCATCTGAGCAAAGACTTGAAGGAGGAGAGGGATTTAGCCCTGCAGTTATCTGGGTAACAGTGTACCAGGGAGAGGGAACAGCCAGTGCAAATGCTGTAGGGTGGGATAATACCTGGTTTGTTGGAGGAAACCAAGGGGGCTTGTGGAGCTGGAGCGGAGGGAGGAAGTGGTCAGGAGAGTGTGGGGGGAGAGTGTTGGGGGAGAGGGGAGGACAGGTCACTATGAGAACTTAGGGAGATGGGAAGCAACTGGAGTGTCTTTTGTAAGAGGAAGGACATGAGCTGGCGTATATTGTAAAAAGATCACTCTGGGTGTGTGTGTAGGGAGCGGGGGCAGCTGCAGGGAGACCAGTCGGGACTGCTGCACTAATCCAGGCAAGACATGATGGTGGTTCGAATCAGGGTGGGTGCTGTGGGGGTGGTTGGGAGGGCTTGGATTCTGGATCTATTTTGAAGGCAGAACCAACTGGATTTCTTCATGGATTGGACGTGGGTTGTTTCAAAAAGGGAGGAGCCGAGATCATCGCCTCCAAGGCTTTGGCCTGAGCCATGGAAGGCTTGGATTGCCATTGGCTGAAATGGGGTTTGTGTTGGAGCAGTGCCTTTTCTCAATCAATTTTTCACTATCACCCACCCTCAGGAGCCTTTGAAGACGTTTTTCTCTAATCACTTCCCCGCACAGCAGATTTTTTTTTTTTCCTGATGGAGTCTTGTTCTATAGCCCAGGCTGCAGTGCAGTGGCGTGATATGGGCTATGGGCTCACTGCAATCTCTGTCTACTGATTTCAAGCGATTCTCCTGCCTCGGCCTCCCGAGTAGCTGGGATTACAGGTGCGCACCACCATGCCTGGCTAATTTTTGTATTTTTAGTAGAGACGGTTTCATTATGTTACCCAGGCTGGTTTTGAACTCCTGACTTCAGGTGATCCACCTACCTCAGCCTCCCAAAGTGCTGGGTTTATAGGCGTGAGCCGCCGCGCCCGGCCCACAATGGAATTTTACCACCACAGCTATGACGTATACATGTTCATGTACTTTGGCCCTTTGGAAAATTACAAACCATTGTAATATCAATATTTTTCTGTCCCCCCAAGAACCAATTTTTGCCCACTGGAGAAGGTGGCATCCCTGTGAAGAAGGCATGTGTCAGAGCGAGTTGTGTAACGGAGAACAGGTGCTCAGCTTGGCACACGTTGGACCTGAGCTATCTAGTGCAGGGAGGGGATGCTGAGTGGACAGTGGAACATTTGAGGTCCAGGCTAGAGGTATGGATGTGAAAGTCATTGGTGTATATATGCTGTTGCCATGAGACTGGGTGAGCTCACCAGAGGAATGAGGAATGAGATCAGAACCAAAGTCTGGGCTTGAGGCACCCCATGTTGGGCTGTCTGGAAGAAGAGAAAAAAGCAGCAAAGGAGACGGAGAGGGAAAGGTGAGAGAAGTAACAGAAAACCAAGTGAGTACAGCAGGTGACCTAGGAGCCCAGTGGAAAGAGTGTTTCAGGGAAGAGGGAGGGCTACGCTGCCAAATGCCATGGGGTCAGGGGCAAGTGGCAGAAAGACTGAGAACTGACAGTTGAGTTTAGCCATAGAGAAGCTCCTTCTTGGTAGGAGCATTTTATTTATTTATTTATTTTTGAGATGGGGTCTCACTCTGTCACCCAGGCTGGAGGGCAGTGGTATGGTCCTAGCTCACTGCAGTCTTAACGTCCTGGGTTTGAGTGATCCTCCCACCTCCCGCCTCAGCCTCCTGAGTAGCTGGGATTACAGATGTGCGCCGCCATGCCTGGCTAATTTTTATTTATTTATTTATTTTTGAGATGGGGTCTCACTCTGTCACCCAGGCTGGAGGGCAGTGGTATGGTCCTAGCTCACTGCAGTCTTAACGTCCTGGGTTTGAGCGATCCTCCCACCTCCCGCCTCAGCCTCCTGAGTAACTGGGACTACAGGCCCCGCCACCATGCCCAGCTAATTTTTTGTATTTTTAGTAGAGATGGGGTTTCATCGTGTTAGCCAGGATGGTCTTGATCTCCTGACCTCATGATCTGCCCTCCTCGGCCTCATGAAGTGCTGGGATTACAGGCGTGAGCCACCACACCCAGCCTTAAAATTTTTTTGTAGAGACAGGGTCTTGCTGTGTTGCCCAGGCTGGTCTCAGACTCCAGGTTTCCAATCCTCCTGCCTCGGCCTCCCAAATCGTTGGGCTTACAGGTATCAGCCAGCATGCAAGGCCCATAGGAGTATTTTTGATAGAGTGGTGGGGATGAAAGCCAGATTGGAGTGGGTTTAAGAAAGAACAGGAGGAGAAGAACCGCTGATAGTGGATAAAGACAACCCTGGGAGGAGTTTTGTTGCAGAGGGGAACAAGGAATTGGGTGGCAGCCACAGGGGAAGCAGGATCAAGGGCAGGTATGTGTAAGATGGGAGGAAAAACAGCCACTGACGGGAATGGTTCGGTGAACTGAGACGGGATGACTTGCTGATCAGAGGGACTGGGCTCTGGTGCCTGCCTGGGTGGTGGGTGAGGGCAGGCGTGGACAGTCATCTCTCCTAGGACTCGGGGAGGCAATGTGTGGGTGCAGAGGCTGGTGGGGGCGGATGTGCCCGTGCAAATCTGGAAGTACTTCTGAGAGACTGGATTGTCTTCAGGGAGTGAGAAAAACAAGGTCAACAGCTGAGAGTGAGGACGGGGGAGGGTGGGGTGGGGTTTGAGGAGAGGAGATCGTGAGAAA